ACGCACCTATCTAGCCTATAGTAACATATAAATATATATTTCACACACCCCCTAGGCTAGATAAGGGGCAGTGCCGGACAAGAGACACGCAGCTCAGGGTGGCACTACTAGTCCAACCTCTAAGGCAAGGGTCTGAAGACCAGTCAGCACGAGTACAAACTAAACAAGAGCAACCCAGCGCGGCACTACTAGTCTAGCCACTGGAATAAGAGCCACAAGGCAAGTCAAGAAAATAAAACAAGTACACAATCAAGGTCCTAGCAAGTGAGTAGCCACAGGCAATAGACCAAGCTGTACACAGTGCCGCTGATGATCTTTAGGCGCAAGCGCCTTAGTAAATATATCAGCTGTGTTGGCACCGGAGGCCAAGTTTACTACGCGGGCCTGGCGGTGTTGCTGTAGATCGCGCAGGATGAAGTACCACAGCTGGATGTGCTTCGCTCTGCCTTCCAATCGAGGCTCCTGACATAGGAGGATCATGGCCATGTTGTCAGCTTACAGGACCGAGACAGAGCTAGGCCACTCACCTAAGTCTGTGAGCAAGAAAGTCAGCAATTGGAGCCCCTATGCCGCCATGGCACCGGCGTAGATCTCAGCCTCACAGCTAGACTGGGCAACAGGGGGCGAGCGCGTGGACCTCCATGAGATGGCGCCTGCACCAAGGCTAAAGCAGTAGCCCTGGGAGTACCTGAGCGTCTCAGTGTCGTCTGCCCATGAAGCGTCTATGCACCATGTAAGGACCACTGGCCTGCGTCCTCCTAGCACTAGCCCCATGCCTGATTTAATTGCTAGATAACGTACAACCATCTTAGCGGCCAACCAATGTTGCGGTCAGTGTATGCCTATAGCCACAAAGCGCGCCATAATGCTGAGAGGGTATGCTAGATCTGGGCGAGTGCAAGTCATCAGGTATATGAGGCAACCCACCAGCTCTGTGTACGGACCATTAGGCTCTACTGACTCCTCAAGGACTAGAGTTGAGATCCTGTGATCTACTGGTAGAGGTGTGGGTTGTGCAGAGGAGAACTGAAGACCGAACCTCTGAAGGACCTAGCGTACCAAGTGTGACTGTGTGAGAGAGATGGTGTGCGCTGTTATGTCCCTGGAGATCTGCAGGCCAAGGTAGCGGCACAGTTCTCCTAGGTCAGTGCAGGTGTGTCTCCTCAGCAGCTCAGCCTTCACGGAGGTCGGTGCATCTCTGTCTGCAGTAGCAAAGACCAGGTCGTCTACGTAGACAAGGATGTAGAACGGTGTCTGGCCTAAACGAACGAAGAGCAAAGGGTCTGCAGAGGACGAGAAGAATTGCATGTCAGCTAACGTAGCACAAAGCGTGTCGTGCCATTCTCGAGGCGCCTGCAGCAGGCCGTAAACCGGGCACCGGAGGAGCCACTGGGTCCCCGGGGCGAAGGTGCCGGTGAAGCCTGGCGGGCGATGCAGGTAGACTTGCTCGTGAAGACTGCCTGGAAGAAACGCTGTCGAGAAGTCAAGAGAGTGCAGCTCGTAGTCTCGCTGTGCTGCTCCATGTAGCAACACCGGAAGAGTAGTCATCTTCGGGGTCGGGGCGAAGGTCTCAAAAAAGTCAACACCCTTGCGCTGATTGAAGCCTCTAGCAACGTAGCGTGCCTCGAACACCGGCAGCTCTCCAGGAGGGCGCTTCACCTTGAAGAGCCACCGGCCATCGACTACGTTCACCCCAGGTAGGGGAACTGCGTCGACGTAGGGGCCGGTGGATCTCCAAGTTGCCATCTCCGCGTCCATGGCAGCTATCCACTAAGAGGCCCAGAGTCCCGAGGTCACCTCAGCGTAAGTGCGAGGGGTCGGTATGTTAAAGGCGTCTGGGTCACCCTCAGGGACGAGCAGCATGAAGCCGAGATGAGGCGCGGCCTTGGACAGGAAAGCTAGCTCATACTGCCGGTCCTTCAGGACGTCACTGCCAAGGGCAGAAGCACCCCCGACGGACCGAGGATGGGCACGGTCAGAGACCAGAGCGGTGGCGTAGTCTAGGCAGCGGGTAGAGGCAAAGTAAGTGTTGGCAGCGACAAGAGTGTCAAGACTGGAGACAAGAACAGGCGGGTCGGTAATAAGAGAGGCGAGGACCCGAGGAACAAGTGGACTAGCGGCACGGAGGAGGTCAGACAAGGGAGTCAAAGCGACAACCAGCGAGGACGGAGGAGGCGACGGGAGGAGGCGAGGATGAGACGCGTGGGAACGAAGCAACATAGGGTGAGAGCGCTGGACATGAGAGACTGGACGAGCATGAGAGGGACGGCGAGACCAGAAGTGGGACGGAGGCGTCGGGTCAGGAGCCATAGGAGGAGACACAGGAGGAGAACGAGGGGGGAAACGAGCCAGAGACGAGTCCGGCAGAGGAAAGACAGGACGGTAGACAGTCGAGGGAGGCGCAAGTGGGCGGTCAGGGGAGGGAAGACCGAGGAGGCGAAGGACAGACACCGGCAGTGACCGCTGCTGCTGCTACTCCATGCCGACATCACAACCTCCAGCCGCACCACGGCTACCTCCGGGACGCTCCACGACACCACCCCCAGAACGAGAACCCTCTGTAGCACCGGTGCTACCTCGAGGTCTGCCGGGACAAGCCACAATAGTACCCCCAAGACTAGCACCCCCAGAACCAACACCCCCATAACGAGAACCCTCTCCACCATTGGTGCCACCCGCAGGACCACCGGGACAAAGCCACGACTCTACTCCCATGACTAGCACCCTCCTCAACGCCCGCACCCCTAGAGAACGCGGATCTCTGCGGCAGCTTTTGCTGCAGCGGCGGCGACGGCGGCTGCGGCTGCTTCGGCGGCGGCGGAGGAGGGGACAGCGGAGTGGAGTCAAGCAACACCGAAGCCGCGGGACCCCCGGAGTCAACCGACTCCTCGACCAGGACAACCGACGGGAGGGGAGTGACATGAGACACACCTGACAGGCCAGGACAGGGAGGAAGAGGGGAAGGGGCTACTGGGGGAGTGGGGACCAGGAACCGGGGCGGGGTAACCGGGAGACATCGGTGGGGAAAGCGGGGTGTAGAAGGAGACAGACTCGTCAAAAGTGACGTCGCGGGAGTGAAAGAAATGGTGATACGGCGGGTGGTACAAGTGCCAGTCAGACGCGTCAATTGGGAAACCAAGGAAGACACAAGGGACGGTGCGGGCAGTGAGCTTGTCCGTGTCAGAGGCACGAACGTGAGCAAGGCAGCCCTAGACGTGGAACGCAGACGTGTCATTAGGGAACCCGGTCGAGAGAAAGGTCGGGGAAACCTGCGGCCGCTGGGAGTGTGGCCACAAGTTAAACTAGTGAGCGGCATAACAAACAACGAACGACCATAGAAAATGGGGTGCATTGGTATGGATCATGGAGGTACGAGCGACCTACATGACCAAACTGATGTGTTTCTCAACGACGCCATTCTGCTGCGGGGAATCCGGCAGGGTGTACGACTGGGTGATGCCCTAACACGACAGAATCGGCCAAGCCGACCGGAGGCGAACTCGCCGTCACGGTCGGAGTGGAGACGCAGCACGCGGAGGCCACGGTGGACTCGCGGAGCTATGACCCACAAGATAAGGGCGTCAGGCACGCCGGCCTTCCACTTCAGGGGAAACACTGTGGTGTAGCGCGTGAAGTCATCGATAAGCACTAGAAAGTAGCGCTCGCGACGCTGCCCAGGGACAGGGGTGGGACCCCAAACGACCAGGTGCATGGTCTGGAGTGGCGCAGTGGTAGGGGGGAGCGAGGAGGAGTGGGGAGCACGGTGCAGCCGGCCGTCGACGCAGGGCGTGCACGGCGGCGCAGGCGAGGGAGGGAGGGCAGGGAGCGACGCAGAGAGACCACGGACAAGCCCCTGATGGGACGTGTGACGCAGATGCGGGAGAGCGGGGTGACCTAGGCGATGGTGCCACAGCAGTGAAGGGTGGGTGAGGCACCGACACGAGCAGACTGCAGCTACCTGAGAGGACGCAGCGACGTGGGGGGACGCTCCGACCGGGGGGGACGTAGTGTCAAGCGGCCTGACCCGGGGTCTCGAGGGAACGTCGTAAGAGGGGCACTAGTGGCGGCCTCGGTACAGACGGCGTACCGTTCGTGTTCAGGGAACGTAGTGGTGACGCCGAGGTCTTGAAGACAGCCGACACCAACTAGGTTCCTGGAGAACCAGGGGATGTGCAAGCCTGTAAGAGAGCCTGAGGGGACCACCGGACAGGGAAGGGTAGTGGAGCTACGTACGTGCGTTTACCGGACCCGAGGAGGGGCCAGCAAGCGCTACAGCGGCAGGGGCAGCAAGCGGCGTGAGTGCAGTGTGGTTGCGGAAGAAGCAGGAAGACACTCCAGAGTCGAGCATGAAAGAGAGCAAAGCAGTAGCGTCGGCCGGCGGAGGGGCTAGCATAGAGCCTAAGCTGAACAAGGCAGGAGGTCTTACGCCTGACGCAGCAGGGGAACCTAGTCTACACACAGTGGACACACCTACGCTAGGCGACACTGGTTAATAGGGTGCAGGCACACTAGAGTCATCAACATACAGGGCATACATAGCAGACCTATGCTGATCCATGTCCATCTCAAAAACAGGCACACGGCGACGCACCAGGCTGTACCAGTCCGGGGGGTCCGCCGTGGGGCGGAAACGGAGATGGAAGAGGTCTTCCAGGCGGCGGTAGCTTTGGGCGACGGACCGACGGTGTGCCCGGGACAGTCGCAGACGTGCCGCGGCGAGGGCCAGATTGGAGCTGGTACTGGCAGGTGGCGTGGCGACACTGGAGCCGCCTCCCGACACTGAGCTGCGCGGCCCACCACCACGACCACCACTACCCGCGCCGCCAGGCCACCACGGCGGCGGCAGGCGGCGGGCAGCTGGCGGTTAGCGACGGTCGGCTAGGAACGGCCGGCTAGCGACGGGCGGCTCGGGCTAGGACTAGGATTAGGGCGGAGCGCGGGAGGGCGGGATCCTAACCTAGCGTTATACCATCTGAGAGTAGAAGGATTGAGTACAAGATGCTCGCACGCACCTATTTTCATCATTATCTGTATCATATAACAAGTCTCCATGCATATGAACACTTCCTAAACTTGTATGCAGGTACCTAACATACTACTGGAGAAGTAGGGGAGGGCACTAGCATCTCCGATCTAGCTAAACAGATGCATTACAGGGGATAAACACGCCGTTTTGCATTCCCTGTTTTGGCCAGTTCAGGTAGAAATACTGTGCTTAGAAAAGGTGGAGTGAACGTTTCTTTGCATCCTGCTTCCACTTGGGCTGCTTGTAGAAGGCCTCCTTGTCACATCCAAACAGCTCATGGAACTCAGCGTCGGACAAATAGGCCTGCCACACAGCATTGGGGAAGGTGTTGGATGGGGGGAGTTACCGCCTGGGCGACAAACAACCATGTGTCACTTCAACCGACATAAAGAACCCACTAACAAATAATTGCACAGGGCAACCCCTTTTCTCCACCCGCGCACCTCCCCTGCTGAACACCCACCTCTCGCTTCTTGGTGTCAATGCCAGGAGCAGGATCTGTGCTGTTGACTGTGAGCCTCTCCAGAGCGTACACAGCCCCCTCCACTGCGGCCTCTGCACCCGACACATCAGAGGGCTCATCTCCCTCTGGGATGGGGGCCGGCTCAGGGGAGGAGGGGGTGGCAGCAGCGGGACTGGCAGCAGGCTGAGGGTCGGGCGTGGATTGGGCCATGGCAGCTGGCGATTGCGCCTTGGGGATGGAGTACGCTGCTCCCCCTCCACCTGCCGTTGAGTGATTGGTTGACAGGAGAAGCTGGGTTAGTCAGTGAACTGACCAAATTCTAAATGCGTGCAGTGGGAAAGATGGGCAGCAAAGGAGGTTTCACTGTGGTGTGAAAGAACCAGCACCAATGAACCAACATGACCAACCCAACAGCAGAGTGAGAAGGGGCATACTGTGATAAAGCAAAAAGACAGCACTCACTCTTCCTCTTCTCTGCTGTGAGAGTGCCTGAGAGAGCAGCGATAGCAGCAGCGCGCTGGGAAGCAGCAGACATGGGCGCCTCAGCCTCGGCAGCTGCAACAGGTTCGGGCGTGACTGGAGCAACAGGTGCGGCAGCAGCAGGAGCAGCAGCAGCAGGTTCGGGCTTGGTGGGGACACCCTTGATGCTGCCCTTGAGGGCTGCCATGGCTGCTGCCATCTGAGACGAAACTGACTCCTTGGGGGTGGGGGCAGCAGCAGCAGCAGCCGCCTCTGCTGCCGGTGCTGCTGGGGCAGGCTCAACATCTGCTGGTGCAGCCGCAGCACTGGCCGCAGCAGCATCGGGGTGGGATGATGCGAGACCGAGTGTTGCCAACTTGCGCTTGGCAGCCTGTGGGTATTTCAAAGGAGAGATGTGAGGGCAGGAAAGGGTGGAGAGAGTTGGGGATAAGCTGAAGTGAATGGTGGTATGGGGTACAAGCAGTGGGGCGTATGCCGTGAGGCAGTGAGACAAGCAGCGGCAGTAGGGCCAGCCAATTAAGCATGCCAATAGTCAGCACCAAACCACGCTCAGTCGACTCGCCATCAAAAGTTCCGCTCATCTCCATGCCATGATGCACATCAAACCACAACATCCATAGAACTGCCAGACGCATCAATCCATCCCACCAACGTGCCATCAACACACGACATACACCATACCCCCATACCCCCATGCCACCATGCCCCCATACCCCCACGCCACCATGCCCCCATACCCCCACGCCACCATGCCCCCATACCCCCATGCCACCATGCCACCATGCCACCAGGCACCATGCCATCAATGACTCACATCAGACAGCTCCACCTCCCTGCCCTGCAGGTGCGCCAGCTTGCGCTCGTGGGGGTCCACAAAGGCCTGCAGGGGGCAGCACAGGGCAGATGGTTGCAAGGAGGGCGGGTAGGAAGGGGAAAGTGGCACATGAGTGGGTGGAGGGGGAAAGTGGCACATGAGTGGGTGGAGGGGGAAAGTGGCACATGAGTGGGTGGAGGGGGAAAGTGGCACATGAGTGGGTGGAGGGGGAAAGTGGCACATGAGCGGGTGGACGGGGAAAGTGGCACACGAGTGGGTGGAGGGGCACATGAGTGGGTGTAGGGGAGGACACGAGTGGGTGGAGGGGAGGACACGAGTGGGTGGAGGGGAGGACACGAGTGGGTGGAGGGGAGGACACGAGTGAATGGATGGAAGGAATGCGACCGGCCTTGCATGCCGCCATCTTGGTGGGATCCCAACTGACATGGCATGTGAACAAGGGATGAAGGGGGTGCATGCTGTCATGTTCATGGGGGATGCATGTCATCATGGGCATGGGGGATGCATGCCCTCATGGGCATGGAGGATGCATGTCATCATGGGCATGGGGGATGCATGGCATCGTGCTTGGCACAAGCAGGACAAATACCGCAGTCTTAGTGGGGTGCCATTGAAGGTGGCACGAGCATGGTGACACATACCGCGGTCTTGGTGGGGTCCCAGGGAAAGTGGAGGCAGGTGAAGATTGGGGGAAAGCATGTGAAGTCACATGATAAGCCTCTCATGCCATTCCATGCCATGCCATGCCATGCACAGCAGCGTACCGCGGTCTTGGTGGGGTCCCAGGCGAAGTGGCAGGTGAACATGGGCGGCTCAAAGCCCTCCACCACGCGGATGATGGTGCTGTCCCGTGACCGCCCCTCACTGCCCGCCGCATGCTCCACGTACCGCTGCCAGGGGGGAGGGTGGAAAAGATAGGGGTGGGGCAACGGGTTGCAGAAGAGGGGTTCAGGTGTGCCCTTGGAGCAGCCCTCTCTACCCGCTGCTTGCTCCATGCAGCGCTGCCAAGGGGCGTCAGTGCTGTCCCATGCCACCCCCCTCGCTGCCCGCGGCTTGCTTGCTGCGCGTAACACAGGGCCACACAGGGGGAAGAAACGGGGGTGCATCTGTCATGGGTGCTGCGTGCCCATGCCCATGTTACTGGCGAGACTGGCGGAGCATCGCGAGGATAAGGCAACTCGAATGACTAAATCAGTGCAGATGCCGCGCCAGTCGCACAGTCATGCACCGCACCCGCGAAAAGCGTCACACCCCCACACACCAGCAGCGCCCATCCAGCAGCCTGAACACACAGGGGCGCACCTGTGCATAGTCGAAGGCCTCCTTTTTCTCCTTGTCGGGCAAGTTGACCCCCACCCACACGAACACCTCGGTGTGCGTGTCCAGCAGCATCACGTCCTCGCTGATGAGATCCTCCTGCTCGTAGTTGGGCACCTCTACCACCTGGCGGAACGGGGCACCAAGGGAAGGAAGCAGCAGACGTGTGGGCTTAGAGGTACATGCATGAAGCACATGTGCGTGCGAGTCTATGTGTCCAGCAGCATCACGCCCCCACCGATGAGGTCCTCCTGCTTGTAGTTGGGCACCTCGACCAACTGGGGGGGCGAGTGCAGGGGAGAGGGCCGAAACGAAAGGATGCTTAGGCCTTCCATGACATGGCACGCGCGCGTGCGTGCCTGCATGCATGCGAGTTTGTATCAGCAGGTCACCGCTGATGAGGTCCTCCTGCGCGTGGTTGGGCACCTCTACCACCTGATGGGGCGAGGGAAGGGGAGCACGTGGAGCGAGAGAAGGCCTTCAGCATGCACTATTGTGTGCACACACGCGATTGCCCAGCAGCATCACACCCTTGCAGATAAGGTGTCCCTTGCTGCTCGGTGCTGGGTACCCCTACCACCAGGAGGGCTGCCGCACCAAGACAGCAGAGGCACAGGAGGCAGATACCATGTGCAACGCATGCGCCCATGCATGCGCATGCCGATGCACGTGCAGCACTCAAAGCATGTGATGAGACGCAAGCCTCCCTTTCTAAACGCTACTAAGAAGCAGCCTTTTAACACACTTGGGAGTGACTCTGGAAGTGACATCTGTTGTCACTGACCTTTGCAGCAGCTGCAGCCAAGAAGCGAGGAAAGGAGGAAGCCGATAGCATGTTGCGCGTGGTGGACGGTGCACAGCACATTGCACACACACGGAATACACATGCGCAAGGCACACATACACACACATGGCACATACATGGCACACACGGATTGGAGAGCACACACCATAAACAGGGACCAGGGGAGAGGTTGGCAAAGAATCAGCCAGGGAAAAATGGCGGGCAACGTTTGAATGGACGCAAGGAGAGAGAAGAGTCCTCAGTAGTGCAAAACCTGCACACTTCCATGCCCAAATTAACTATCATAATAATCACCCGCAGCACCTAGTTATAATCACCTGCAGTGCCTCACAGCGCTTGCTATAATCACCTGCAGTGCCTCACAATGCTCGCTATAATCACCTGCTGTGCCTCACAGCGCTCAATATAATCACCGGCAGTGCCTCACAATGCTCGTTATGATCACCTGCAGTGCCTCGCAGCGCACGCTATAATCACCTGCAGTGCCTCACAGCGCTCGCTATAATCACCTGCAGTGTCTCACAATGCTCGTTATAATCACCTGCAGTGCCTCGCAGCGCACGCTATAATCACCTGCAGTGCCTCACAGCGCTCGCTATAATCACCTGCAGTGCCTCACAGCGCTCGCTATAATCACCTGCAGTGCCTCACAATGCTCGGTATAATCAACTGCAGTGCCTCACAGCGCTCGCTATAATCACCTGCAGTGCCGGTGTAGTGGAAAAGCCGCGCGTCCCTCTGCCCCTCGCGCTGCTCCCTGGCAGCGGGGTAGTCGCCCTTGGCGCCCAGGTGCCCCCAGAACACCGACGTCTCCTTGCCCTCCGCCAGCTGCTTCAGCGCCACCCCGGGCTGAGAAGAAGCGTGGGGAAGAGCGGGGTGGCGGTGGAAGGAATGTGCGCTTGAGGTGACTCTAAGGAAGTGGGCCTTCGCGCCCAGATGCCCCAGAACACCGACGCCTCCTTGCCCTCTGGCAGCTGTCTCAGTGCTGCGCCGAGCTGCAAGGAAAGGATGGAGAGGACGGCGGGTGGCAGGGAAGACAGGGGGAGCAAGGAGGGCAGGAGGTGGCACGAGGGGTGCAGAGAGTGGTGCGGGCGTGCGGACATGTGTCTGCCTGCACGCCACGGATGAACGCCCGCCCTGCCCTCCTCATCATGCCTTTCAGCATCCCAGGGGGCGCTGGAGGGATGAGCACATGCATGTTGGAGGTTGGTGATGGTGAAGTGCTTCACAGGGGCAACTCACCTTGAAGATCTCAGCAGCCGTGGTGGCGGCGGCCTTGTCGGCCTCGGAGCTGTTCTTGCCCACCCAGAGGAAGGGGTTGGAAGGCGTCTGCAGCAGCATGCACTCGCATGAGTTGAGCGACCGGGGTACCTGGGTATGGGGATAGGGACGTACGTGCATGCACACACACACAGAATCACACACCCACGCATGCACACATGCATGCACACATACACAGAAACACACACCCACGCATGCACTAATGCATGCACACACATGGATGCGTTAAAGATTAGGCTGACATACAACGTGTCGAGCACTCGTGTTCAGAAAGTGTAAAAAATCGGACGCATGCAGCGTGCTGCATACTTGCATGTACGCAGAGAGGTACACTTGCACACACTCAGAGAGGCATGCTTGCACACACTCAGAGAGGCATGCTTGCACACACTCACGCACCCACCGTGTCCATCTGAACGGCCAGGATGAGCCCGTTGTCCCGCGCTCTCACGCGGAAGAGCGCGATGCCCGCCGCATCATACGCGTCCGCACCCCCTCCTGCCGCCTTGCCCTGCCGTGGCACCATCAGGGGGGACGCAAGAGAGGATCCGGAGAGGGGAAGAGAGACGGGTAGGGGCAGGGGGAGAGAGGGGTGAGGGCAGGGAGTAGAAAGGCGTGAAGGGTTGGGATTTGGGAGGAACACGGGCGCACTGGAAGTAAGGAAATGTAAGGAGAGGGTAGGGGGTGGAGGGAAGAGCTGGGTGTGGGTGGACGGGAGAGTGGGTGCTGGGGATAGAATTTATTCAATAACAGAATAAAGCCACATGGCAGCAAAGAGATGACAGCACAAGTGAATGCGCGGAGCAATGGGTCCCAAAACACCGAGTGCGGGGATGCGGTGAGGCAGAGAGGGGGGAGAGCGCACCTTGAGGAAGAGCAGGTGATTCTTGAAGAGCGAGAGGAACTGATCGGGCTCCCTGCCTTGCACCACGCGCACCTGAGACATGCAGAGGGGACGCACAGGGAGGGGGGGCACATAAGTGATGGTGCATGGATGATCCTACCCTGGGATTGTGGTGCACGTTGAGGGTCAACACAGGCTCGGTGCAGGAAGACCAGAAGAACACTGCAGCGACCATAGGCTCTTGTGGGCGTGCTGCTCGCTGCTCTCACCAGAGTCACATTGCCTCACTGCTGTCACAAGAGAGGCCCTGACCACAGTGACACCTACCAGAGTGACGTTGCCTCGCAGGGCGTCCATGGTTCGCACAGCCAGGGCCGTCGCTGTTGTGCGCTCCGCCTGGAGGAGAGGGGGAAAGAGCAGGGGGAGAGTTGGGGGACGAGAGAGAGAGGGTGGCAGAGGGAAGAGGGGAGAGGGGGCAGAGGAGTGAGTGCTGAAAAACGGAAAGAAGTGATGGGGTTGATGGTGGTGATGGGGTTGATGGCAGTTTGGGGTTGATGGCGGTGATGGGGGCGATGGCGTTGATGGTTGATTGGCCATGGCCGTTGGTAGTGCTGCTGGATCAGTCCAACTCACAATCATGGCTGAGAGAACAACAGATGCTCGCGGTTGCCATGTGCACGGCCACTAAAGCAAGACCCCAAGGGCCGCTACGGGGGTGCACCAAGGCCTTAGAAATGGCAATGGACGTCAACCCCCGTGAAGGTGAGCAGGGCAGCAGGGGGCTTACAGCAGCAACAGGGGCTTACAGCGGCAGCAGGGGGCTTACAGCAGCGGTGTCCTTGCCGAGCCAGAGGAAGAGCAGGTACTCGTGCTTGCGGTCGCGGATGGACGTGTGCTGCACCAGGTAGCTCTCGCCCGCATGGAACTTCCCCACCTCCTCCGCCGCCACCGCTGCCTTCGTGCTGCCCGTGATTCGCCACGCCTGGAGGGGACCGTGAGGAGGAGGGGAGGAGGGGAGGAGGGGAGGAGGGGAGGAGGGGAGGAGGGGAGGAGGGGAGGAGCGGAGGAGCGGAGGAGGGGAGGAGGGGAGGAGGGGATGAGGGGATGAGGGGAGGAGGAGGAAAGGAGGACGGAGGAGGAAAGGAGGACGGAGGAGGAAAGGAGGAGGGGAGGAGGAAAGGAGGACGGAGGAGGAAAGGAGGAGGGGAGGAGGAAAGGAGGACGGAGGAGGAAAGGAGGACGGAGGAGGGAATGAGGAGGGGAGGGGAGGATGACAGTAGGAAGAAACCAAGAGTGGGAGGAAGAATGAGGGAGGAAGGGAAGTGGGAGTAGAAATGGGGAGCGGAAGTGGAAGGGGATGAGAGAATGGGAAGAGGAGCGGCGAAGCAGTTTGACTTGATGAGAAACGGCAGATGCGGTGCTGGCATGCAGAACACGGACCCCCGCTGCCACACACACCACCCACCACCCCCCCACATCATAAATGCCCACTCCACTCAACGAAACATGATAGCAAGATCATACACATTACAACGTCCACACTGCCCTTGTCGTGCCAACTACCCCCCCCCTCCCCCCCCCACACACATCAAGGTCGCCCAGCATCTCTGCCAGCGGCGGACTCTCCTCACTGCTCACATTCCGAATCCCTATCCCCCCATGCCTGAGACCCCCTCGCGCCCCTGACTCTCACCTTGAGGTCGCCCGGCATCTCAGCCAGCGGTGGGTGCTCCTCATCGCCCCCTGCACCGCCCTTGGCCACTGCCTTGTCCACCACGCCGCTCTGCTTCAGCATGGCTACGCGGGGGGGGGGGGGGGGGTTGAGGGGGAGGGTTGGGGGGAGGATTGAGGGGGAGGGTTGGGGGGAGGATTGAGGGGGAGGGTTGGGGGCAGGATTGAGGGGGAGGGTTGGGGGGAGGATTGAGGGGGAGGGTTGGGGGGAGGATTGAGGGGGAGGGTAGGGGGGAGGATTGAGGGGGAGGGTTGGGGGGAAGAAGGCAGGAGCGGGTGAGCGCATGTTCATGCTCTCCTGGCAAGGCAGTGGGTGGGTGGGAGGAACACGCAGCTCCCCTTCTGCACGGCTGAAACAAGGCATGTGCCAAGGCCGTGGGTGGGTGGGTGGGGGATAGGCGGGCGGGGGTGGTTGGAAGGTGATGGGGGAGGGAGAGGAAGGACTGTAAGGACACTCATACGGGACCCGCCACCACCCCGCCCTCCGCTCATTCACCCCCACGTCACCCTGTCCAGCACCTTCAACCCATTACCCCCCACCCACCCCACACTCCACCACCCCATTCCAGACCCCTGCCTGCCCTCCCCTCTCCCATTCTTTTTCTGAGTCTCCAGCGGCACATCACCCTCTCCATTGACTTTCGCGCCCTCCCTACAAGCACACTGCCCCTCTCGCCCTCAGCCCTCAACCCTACCTTTGAGCTTGTTGCCGCCCTCCCCGCCGCCCAGCACGGGCACGACGGGCCAGTCGGAGAAGCAGGCCTTGAAGGCGGGCAGCTCGAAGCGCTCTGGCATGCGCACCACGTGCACCGACGGCGGCTTCTTGCCCACCACCAGCTGCGTCTGATGGGGGGGGGGGAAGAGGGAGAGGAGGGAGGAAGGTTACGGAGAGGTGGAAATGAGGGAAGGAGAGAGGAAAGAGAAGGGGAAGGGGAATAAGGAGGGCACGGGGTCCAAGGGAGGGAAGAAGATGGATAAGAGGGGATGGGAAGGCGATTGGAGAAGCAGGACTATTCGTGTCCAGCAGCAGCGGAAACTTGAGCTTGAAGATGATGGGAGACACAAAGAGCTCATGGATTACTGACGAGCACACCACTCCCAGGAATCGCTGCTGCTTCGACCCCACCCCCCCCACAACCCCCTCCCACACACACTTTAGCACCCACTCACTCGCTCACTCGTCTTCTTCCATCCTTCCCTTTCCTCCCCCCAGCTCCGCCCCGTATTTCCGTTCATCATTCCCATCCTCCTCTCCTCCTCCCGCCCACGTCCCACACAACCAACTCACGTACCTCGGCAGCGATGCAGGCGGCGCGGCGCTCGTCGAGGGAGGAGATGCGGCCGAACCAGACGAAGACGGTGGGGCCCATGTCGACGAGGTAGCACTTGTTGCCCTCCAGCTGCAGCTTCTTCAGCGCGCCCGCCCCCATCTCCTGCAGCCCGTCGCCCGACACCCTGCCGACAATAGCAGGGGGGAAGAGGGGGTGAGGATGGGAGGAAACAAAGTTATCGGGAGAGGATTGGCAACGAGATGGGGTGGGCTTGGCAAGATTAGGGATGGGGTTTCGCGAGAAGATGGGTTGGGGATTGGGGAGGAGAAGGGAGTGTAACGGTAGGCTAGATTTGGGGGATTGGAAAGCTGTGTGGGTTGTAGAGGGAATTTGTGAAGTGTGTGCGACCACGAGCTTTGACCTGGATATGAATGGGCAGTGAGGGGCCGCGGTCAATGCATGCACGGGGCAGGATAGCTTGAATGGCCCCCAGGGGAACTCGTAGGGGGGAATATCAGTAGGGCAATCGCCAGCGGGACTCTTGACAGCAGAGCACTCAACTGTGAACACTTGTAGAGCAGTGGGCACGACGGCACTGACCAGTAGAGCAGTGGGCACGACGGCACTGACCAGTAGAGCAGTGGGCACGACGGCACTGACCAGTAGAGCGTGGGCACGACGGCACTGACCAGTAGAGCGTGGGCACGACGGCACTGACCAGTAGAGCGTGGGCACGACGGCACTGACCAGTAGAGCGTGGGCACGACGGCACTGACCAGTAGAGCGTGGGCACGACGGCACTGACCAGTAGAGCAGTGGGCACGACGGCACTGACCAGTAGAGCGTGGGCACGACGGCACTGACCAGTAGAGCGTGGGCACGACGGCACTGACCAGTAGAGCGTGGGCGGGACAGGCTTGGCCTCGACGTCGTCCTCGCTGGCGCTCTTCTTGGCGATGGGCGCGAAGCCGCCAAACAACTCCCAAAACTCGTTCGAGTCCGGGTCGTCCAGCTTGCCGTCGTCTGATGGCGGGAAGGGGGAGGGGAGGAGAGGAGGGGAGGGGAGGGGAGGGAAGGGGAGGAGAGGGGAGGGGAGAGGAGGGCAGGGGAGGGGAGGGGAGGGGAGGGGAGGGGGGGAAGGAGGGAAGGGGAGGGGAGGGAGGGGAGGGGAGGGGAGGGGAGAGGAGGGGAGGGGAGAGGAGAGGAGAGGAGGGGAGAGGAGAGGAGAGGAGGGGAAAGAGAAACGTCTATTGCACATCTGGGGTGTGTCTTAGTGGCAGGTTTTTCATTTTTGGTTTCCAGCTCAGCTCGGTCAGTGCGAATATGAATGTGGTTTAGTGCGATACAGTAGTCTCCAGTGCAAATAACGTTTTTCAGTTTCGCAACTGAGGAGACGGGCTGGCAGTGACTGACCGATGATGGCGATGCTGGCGTGGCCACCATACTGCGTGTCCTGCAGCAGCTGCATGACCTCCATGCCCTTCACGCGCTCCTGCTTGCTCGCGTTGGCGCCGTTGAACTGGAACAGCTTGCTGCGCGTGTCCAGCACGAAGATCTCCGAGTGCGACAGCGACGCGCGGGCAAACGGCACCTGGAGACAGGGGGTTGGGGGCAGGGAAGGTGGGGGGGGAGGGGAGCGGGATGTTAAGGAGATGAAGAGGAAAGGCTTGCTGCGCGTGTCCAGCACGAATATCTCCGAGTGCCACAGCGACGCGCGCGCGAACGGCACCCGGAGACAGGGGGGTTGGGGAGGGTGGGGGAGGCGGGGTGAAGGGGGTGGTGGTGGTGAGTTGAGGGGACGTGGATGGACGCAGCGCTACTGTCACGCGTGGACAACGCGCTAACTGTACGACGCGGACGAAGCCGCAACTGTGTGATTTGACCCAAACCCTACCTGTCTGACGTGAATGAACCGCCGGCCCTTGACTTGCAGCAGGCGCGGCTGCGAGGCCTCGGCGTCGGGTTTCCCCCAGGAGCCGGGCGTGGGGATGATGCAGGGGCGGAAGTAGGAGAGCAGCAGGTCCGACTCGTGGCCCTGCGTCTCGCGGTACTGCGCCGCCTTGCCGCCCAGCGCCGCGTCCAGATCCACCGTCTTGATCGCCGCCAGCGCCGCGTCGTCCTGCAAGGGGGGGGGAGTTTCATAAGTCTGCTTCTGAGGCGCCTCAAAGGCGATCAGCCCTGCGCCGAGGCCCAGCGTCTTCATCGCCGCGCCGTCGAGGCCGGGGGAGCGACCATCATGGATTGCGGCACCGCAGGGACGAGGGGATCTGGCAGTGAGAAGAATGAAGGACTGGGGTCGTTGCATCAATAGGAGGCGAAAGGGCGGCCCTGATGGCTTCGTTAGTGGAGCTGTTTGGGCCAAAGGGGCGCTGATGTGGCAAGAGTGTTCACGGAACTTAGGTGGAGATCGCGACATTGTTTTCCTTCTACAAACGACGCGGGCAACTAACTCGCTAAACAGCAAACGCGACGACGTAGGAGCAACGGGCGGTGGGAATGAAGCCAACAATACGAAGCACAAGAACCAACAAAACGAAGCGTTTGATGTCCTGAGCGCAAAGAAACTACTTTTCTGGGCCGAGAAACCCGTGTCGTTTCGACGTCGATAACAACCAAGTTGACAAAGAAGGGGGTCACACAATGACGATCACGGAGAACAGATCTGGCTTATAAAATGGTTGCAGCGACAAGCAGCTCACCTGAGTCGTCGACTTCCCCAGCCAGTAGTGAATGGCGTATGTGACCGCACCGCCGTGCTTCGATCCCGATGTCTGCACATTGGGCGATGTAAAACGTTGAATATTGTGGAAAATGTTGCAACAATTCGGCAAAGGGTAAAACTGTTTCGCGTGTCTTTGGCTCATTTCCAGCTATTGCTGTCACCTACTGGTGACTCCTGCCTCTACTATCTATGCCATCATATTCGTCTTTTATGGCACCCCTCCGCACCTTGAGCACAATGTACGCGTCTTTGGTGAAGAACTTGCCATGGTCGGCCTTCGGCACGGCCACCACTTGACCGCCATCCAGACGCCACACGTCCAGCCCTCTGCGTCATTGGCCAGGCAATCACGAGGCAAAGGTAAACAAGGTTTTCCATGGATGAATAACCTCCATGCGGTTTCCTCGATGAAGCCGTACTGCGGCTCAAAGCAGTGACATTGTGGTGGCAATGAAGAGATAACGCTCGAGCTAGCTTACGGTTTGTTGCTGAGACCCTGGAACGCGGGATCGAGGTCTTTCACGGAGATCGACATTGCAGCTGCTGGCAGAGCACACGTATCTCGCAGCTGTAAACGCGACGGATGTATAGTCTGCAGCTGATACGCTGCTCCTGGGCTAGCCTACGCAACAGCAAGCCTCCCGAGGGAAACAAATCAAAATGGCGACTAATAATCTTGTTGTCCTGAAATGTTTCAAGACAACCAAATGTCTGCAATGGTTTGCCAAAAGCAGGGCGAATGAAGGATGGGATGGGACGACAGGTGGGATGGGGAAGGAATGGGATGGCGGAGTCAGGGACCAGCAAGCCGGACCAACGGAGGGAAAGATCTGGCTGGATGGTTGCGGGGGAAGATGATTGGTCGGGCGCTGTTTGCCTGGTTGCTTGCTTGCGCCAAAGCAACAAACTGCTGCGTGCTCACTGCCCGTCCGCCAACCAACCAACCAGAGGCAAGGGAAGCGCAAGTCAGGGGACAATGGGGGGCTGCCCGTTCAAATGCCGTGGGCCAATCTCACTGACCAACCACGGCTACTGCGGTCTTCGATTGATGCGTGGCGCGCTGAGGAAAAATGAGCGGGCTTTGGGGGAAATGACGGGTGCTCTGACATGGCAATGAGGGGAGGCGGAACAAGTAGGTATGGCGCTTAATGGTTGGGGGGGGAATCACGGGCAGGGGTTGCGGGAATGCGGAGAAGTTTCTGCTGTTGAAAGGGGGATGTGAAGGAATAAGAAGCCGCAATAATCATAACAGCGTGAACGTCTATAAATATATGGCAATGAGAACCTATACACCTTAAGATTCAAATCAAATTTCTAGAATTGACCAATGATAATAATCACTGTGCACATTCGACCTCTTTTGCCAAGCTCACTTTGGGCCATGTGTAATCAAACCTTTTTTTCTTAATAACTACGCATTCGCAACCTAAGTCAATTCATGTTCCATATGAGACTGGTCAATGTATTCTCTTCAAATGGTGAATTGCATATATAGAAAGATGAAGATACAAAATTCACATTCCCGTATTGATCCGCTCATTCACCAACGTCAGAAATAAAGAAGTTCTGACTAAAGCATTTCAAGAGTATCGAGCACTGTATAACGCTCGAGAGTGTAGCAACATCGAGTACAAACGAGTCTACCATGCTACACTATCCGTCGTCAGTTGAGATCGTCAACAGGGTCCTAAATAGCAGACTTTTTTTGTCTGATTGTCTGATTTTCAGACTGGTTTTTAGGGGTTTCTATGATTTTTCAGACAACGGTTTGAAAATACTCTTATTGGCCTAGACAAGCTTTTAAGATTTCTATGAATTTCTCAGACTAGGTGTACCAGTTTATCTGTTTTTTAGACAAGTGAATCGAGTTTCTCTGAAACAGAGACATACATGTGTACCGGCTCCACACACACCCCTCACACCCCAAAGATTTCGACGAAGTCCCCCACACCAGAGACATTCCTCCCCACACCCCTCGCATTAAAAAAAAAATCGGCTAAGTTCCCGACACCAGAGACATTCCTTCCTCCCCACACCCCTCGCACCCCAAAAAAATCGGCTAAGTTCCCCACACCAGAGACATTCCTCCCCACCCACACCCACACCCCTCGCACCCCAAAAAAATCGGCTAAGTCCCCCCCCCCCCCACATCAGAGACATTCCTCTCCATACCACTTGGGGGCGAGGGCAAACCCTGAAATGGCAGGGCCAAAAGAGAGGGCTGCCTGCACGTGACACGTCATGTGAGTCTCATCGCCCTTAGGACCCGCTCGAAAAGTGTGCGTTCTAAGCGGACGCTCTCGAAGCGTGCCAGCAGTCTTGTTGCGCACGTTTCCAAATCGGCTGGAAATCGTGCCCGAAATGAACTCCCGCTAGAAACGACAAATAATGGCTGACGAAAAGTAAATACACGACTTCGTCATATTCTGGCAGATTCGTCAATGCTGTGGCAAAAACAGCAAGGCATCCTACTACCGTAACTCCATTTCTTTCGCCAAGATCTTTTGGTTTTCGCTGTGCAGAGCATTTGTCGTGTCAAAGGCTGGACACAAGGCCGAAGCAAACATGCTCTCTGTGATCGAAAGGTGAACCTCGCGACATCTACATTCCCCGTAACATTTTTCCGAGCATGTACAGAAGACGTAAAAAGCGCGTGTTAGGGCAAAATGAACTCACTGGACACGCCCTAAGTCTTCGTATGACGGTCAGATGAAAGTTCAAAGCCAAATCTGATTTTCAGATGGCCAAAAATCCTAGCAGAGTCCCCGGTTTGGTCGCTTAGCGGTTATGCTCGTTTGTAACCCGCAACCGCTAATTATTCGAAGTGTTGCAAGTCTCATCATCTCATGCAAACAGACTGTGCAAATACGTTTCTCTGAATTTTCAGACATTCGTTATAGATTTCTCTGAAAAATCAGACAAAGTTTTCCTACTTCTCTGATAGTGAAAAGTGCATCAGACAAAATGCGCAAACCTTGTCTGATTCCTCAGACACGTTTTTTTCCAAAAGAGAACCCTGATCGTCAAGCATGCCCTCATATTTCAGGGATTTTCTCCTGATTTTGCTGATTTTCATAGTGGTTTCTTGTCTCAAAGTCAGAAGTGTTGAATAGAATGGAAGGATACAGGGGTATATAGCTAATGGATTCTGCTCTCTATGGCAAGACCCTATGTAGTCTACTAAACATATACAAATATCTTTGACACACCCCCTAGACTAGATAAGGGCAGAGCCTGGTGAGAGACTAACAGCTCAGGGCGGCACTACTAGTCCAACCTCTGAGGCAGGGGTCTAAAGACAAATCAAAAGAGTACAAACAAGGCAAGAACAAGACCAGGGCGGCACTACTAGTCCAGCCATTCGGAGAAAGCCACAAGGCCAGTCAGGATAATATAGTGGCGGAAACAATTGTCCACATGTTTAGCATATTTTTACATTTTGACGAGCTGTACGCTATAAACATTAAGCCTTAATTCATGGTGGCCATACACGTAGAGAGGAGCAGTTAGAGCACTCACTCAAATCTCCTAAAACCAGAGTAGTATATTTCATGGTCCTTCAAGATGACAACATTTAATAACAGCAAAACCGGACAATTTGTACCGGGGACAGGCAGCAAACTAGTTACTAGCAAAACTAGTACCTAGTCAACCGACACTTGGCCTTGATCACCACCTACACCCTCCTAGGCATGTTATCTACGAGGTTAGTGCAAACCTTTACAGGCATCTTCTCGCACTCTTCCTGGACCCACGCTTTTGCATAAGGGGGTGAGCACTAGGAAAATCGCGAAGTATTTGAGCGTATGCAAGCGTACTGTGCACGATTTCATGTTGAATGTTATCTCTAAGACTAGCCATGCTGAGGTGTGGCCAAAGATGCCATTAGTCGATTGGTCTCGTCTTATCATGGATCGTCTTCATCGTACCATTGTAGGTAAAAATTACGAGCAGAGTGGCGAAAAATTGCGTATCTGCCACGAAACTTAGGGTAACATAGCACGGTTGACAGTGCATCCTTGCACTATTAGAATCACGCTAGGATCCGTAGGTCTCTGAGCGGTGCAGCAGTCGAAGTAGTTGTGACTGGTGGGGAAAATATCCGGGTTCAGGTCTGGTGAGGAAGAGGGTCACTCCAGTGCTATAAACTCATGTTCTCCAAGCCATTCCAAGCCTAGGCGGGACACATGGCTTAGAATGGCTTAGAGAACACGAGTATGTTATGCTGGAGTGACCCTTTTCCTCACCAGATCTCAACCTGGATATTTTTCCCCACCAGTCACGACTACTTCGACTGCTGCACTGCTCAGAGACATACGGATCCTAGCATGATTCTAATAGTGTAAGGATGCATTGTCAACCGTGCTATGTTACCCTAAGTTTCGTAACAGATACGCAATTTTTCGCCACTCTGCTCGTAATTTTTACCTACAACGGTGCGATGAAGACGATCCATGATAAGACGAGACCAATTGAGTAATGGCATCTTTGGCCACACCTCAGCATGGCTAGTCTTAGAGATAACATTCAACATGAAATCGTGCACAGTACTCTTGCATACGTTCAAATACTTCGCGATTTTCCTAGTGCTCACCCCCTTATGCAAAAGCGTGGGTCCAGGAAGAGTGCGAGAAGATCCCTGTAAAGGTTTGCACTAACCTCGTAGATAACATGCCTAGGAGGGTGTAGGTGGTGATCAAGGCCAAGTGTCGGCTGACTAGGTACTAGTTTTGCTAGTAACTAGTTTGCTGCCTGTCCCCGGTACAAATTGTCCGGATGTGCTGTTATTAAATGTTGTCGTCTTGAAGGACCATGAAATATACTACTCTGGTTTTAGGAGATTTGAGTGAGTGCTCTAACTGCTCCTCTCTACGTGTATGGCCACCATGCATTAAGGCTTAATGTTTATAGCGTACGGCTCGTCAAAATGTGAAAATATGCTAAACATGTGGACAATTGTTTCCAGCACTGTATATAAAGAGTTATACACAATCAAGGTCCTAGCAATGAGGTGCTATAGGAACGAGACCAAGCTGTACGCAGTGCCGGTGATGATCTTTAAGCGCAAGCGCCTTCGTAAAGATATCAGCTGTGTTGGCATCGGAGGCCAAGTGTACAACGCGGGCCTGGCGACGCTGTTGTAGCTCACGCAGGAGGAAGTACCGCAGCTAGATGTGCTTCGCTTTGCCCTCGAGTCTGGGTTCGTGACACAGGAGGATCATGGCCCTGTTGTCAGCGTACAGGACCGGGGCAGAGCTAGGCCGCTCACCTAAGTCTGTGAGCAAGAAAGTCAGCCAGCGGAGCTCCTGTGCCGCCATGGCACCGGCGTAGATCTCAGGCTCACAGCTAGACAGCGCAACAGACGACGAGCGGGTGGACCTCCACGAGACAGCACCTGCACCAAAGCTAAAGCAGTAGCCCTGGGAGGACCTGAGAATCTCAGCGTCGTCTGCCCAAGAAGCGTCTGTGTGCCCGGTAAGGACCACTGATCTGCGTCCTCCTAGCACTAGCCCCATGCCCGATGTACTTGCTAGATAACGCAAAACCCTCTTAGCTGCAGATCAGTGCAATGGTCGGTGTCTGCCGGAGGCCACAAAGCGGACCAGGATGCTGAGAGGGTATGCGAGATCTGGAGGAGTGCAAGTCATCAGGTCCATGAGGCAACCCACCAGCTCTGCATAAGGACCAGTAGGCTCTACAGCCT